GGGGCGAATCCAGAAACTCATTAAAGTACCAAATTGTACCAATTGTCAAAGGATGAAGTACAAGACGGGAAAAGTATAGCTGAATGGTTGAAATGGATGACAGAGATGGAGCATCTTACCTAAATGTTGGAGCGGATATAAGTGGAGAAGGTAAGGAAGCTACGGGGACGGGGCCCAGAAAAACGCTCCACTACAAAAAATTCATGTTGACGTAGCGCCCAGCTTGGACTTCAGCCAACCCTCCGTATAATACTGATAATATGTCCATTGAGCTCAATCCTTCTAATCAGCTAGCATTTCAGCGTAAGAACATCCCAAAGTAACTCAAGTCGGTCCATCTCTTCCTTTAATAACCCACAATTATTTTTCCCCCTCTTTCAAAGGTCCATTGACGAGGACTGTAACGGAGACTTTAACTCTCAACAATCCCAATGCAGAACCTGCCATCTTTAAAATCAAGACCACAGCCCCAAAGGCTTATTGTGTAAGACCCAATTCTGGTAGGGTTGATCCTGGATCCTCGGTCACTGTTCAAGGTATGGCATTTTAACCTCTTACCGTTCATCAGCCCGGAGCTTGTAGATAAGTGGCCTAACCCCCGCTTTTTCACCGGTTTTTTTTATCTCCCGTTCGTACGGCTCAGTATTGTTACAGCCAATGGCTCAAGAACCACCTGAAGATCACAAGTGCAAAGATAAATTTTTAGTACAAAGCGCCATATTACCTTCTTCTTTGGCTCACCTTCCTCCTGCTGATATTGTAAGTTTTTTTTAGCCTTTCGTTGTTTGTCGTGCATTGTATGGTCACTCATCCTACTATCTTTAATACCAGATGTCTGAGATAAACAGTTCAGATCCCAGTCGAATCCATCAGGCAAAGCTCAAATGTGTGTATTTGCCAGCAACTCATGATGCAGCGGTAGGTGATTCAAACATATGATGAAAGGTATATTAATGCATGACTTATAAAATCTCATTCCTACAGCATAACGAGCCCGTACAAGCAACTCAGCCTGCGGAGGAACAAATAATACCTGTTCAAAACATGGCCTCAACAGAGCAAGTAAAACGTCAATCTAGTATAGTGGTCAATAGTGACGAAGAGGAGGCGTACCAAAATGCACTGAAGCCGCAAGAGCAAGTCGTTCCAGAGCAATTAGGCTCACCCGTCACTCCTCCCATGGTATCCCCACCATCTTTCGATCATGAAGACACACCAGAACAGCTTGCACCTGTTCCAATTGCTGAAAAGGCTCCCGTAGACAGCTTGAAAGTCGACCCTACTCCACCTGTCCCCGTTCTTCCTCCAGTGCAAGCTTCCAACACCAATCTGGATGAGGTTAAGCGATACGAGAACGAAAATAAGGAACTGCGTAATAATTTGCAATCTGCAAACGAGAGTATTTTGTCCATGCAGAAGAATATTGACTCTTTAAAGAGAGAGCTAAGCGCTGCTCAAGCTTCTGTGATTACCCTGCGCAAAAATGGCACGTCTTCTACTGCTGCCGCTACAGGCAGTGGTAGAAAATTGGCATCTACAGTTAAGCCAGAAGACGCCGTACATCAGCATCTGGCCTCTTTACAAGTGGCATCGCCTACAGAAGGATACCCTCCCCAAGTAGTGGCAATAATCGCCTTCGTTGTATTTTTATTTACGTGGCTATTCTTTTAAATGCAGTAAGATTCCTGAACTGCTCGAAAAACAAAAACGAAAAACATAAACAGGAAATACTTTATACTTGAATTTTAAATGACAGACCTACCGCTGTCCCGTATAACTGGTTACATACATGTAATAAAATCGAATTATCGATTGGTGAATCATCGTTTGTTTGGATTAGATGAGACCATGCCACTAATAATGGTGTTAAATTTCTATCAGTTATGTTCAGCGAGTGAATTGGTAACATTTGAATGTCGTGGGTGCATGTGGTGTCTCGTTTAAGTCTTTGTAAATGTAAACAAAACGGTGAGACTGATTTTCCATAATATAGAAAAGTTGCATAATGAGAAACCGAACAGAAACTTTTTTTCCCTCGCGAAACACTTTTTCACATGAGATACTCCTGGTTTTTTTTTTCTTGATCGCTTAGATAGCTAAGCATACTCTAAAGTTTACATATGAAATGTACGTTTACGTGATGCAATGTCTACAACTTGTCTGACTGTCTATCGCATCAGCAGAACCAAGAATTGCTGCAAATATCTAAATGTGATGGCAAGAGATGTTAAACAACTGATGCTCTCAAGTGCTACAACATGCTAACCACACTGAAACATCTTATTCACTTCCATTAAATGGTGGCCTGCATCTTGAAAGCAATTTATAGACATTGAAGGTTTACAAACTTGGATTAAGCAAGAGTCGTTTTATTTTTTCTTATTTTATTTTATTTTATTTCTTATAACAAAGGGGCGAGGTTCTTCTTGACAACTAACCGCATACATTCAAGGAATATGTTTTTTTTTTACAGAGGTTTGCTGAGACAAGGGAAGGACTTTTCAGGTTACTTACTAGATGGCAAAGGAAGACGAAAATATACCAGGGGGAAAAATACGTTCAACTCGATGTTGTTCCTTACAACAGGTTGCGGGGTTTCGTTTTCGAGAATTGCTTTAATGAATATAATACTAGTGCTAATCAGCAACACTTTTACAGATTGGCATATGACAAAAATTTGAAATGCACGAACAAATATCCAAGGGCCAATTACAAAGACATATCAATTCCGAGCACGTCTATACAACTCTAATTCTTGATGCCAAACGACCTCCTAACGTTTGTTCAGGGTATGTCTCTCAAAAATTGATCCATTATCTAAACTTAAGGCGACAAAAGCCGACTGGCCAACACACTCACGACTTTTTTCGCAAAACGCGGAACATCGTTATTATTTTCACCTTGAAAATGTTTATTTACACCGCCGATAGCTTCACCGAAATGATTCGTGATACCGGCACCAACAACTTCAAGAGTCCTCTGGCTCCATTCCATATGTCAAATAGAACGAGCATTTGCCCGTGACCCTGTGAGTGCGAATCCTTTGCCGCGAAGAGCTCAGTGTCGACGAAATCGTCCCATCCATGAATGCTGCTGTTGCAATTGATTCGAAGCATGCTCTTGAGAATACCATTCAACCGTTCGCTTTACCGTTGGTTCTTAGTTGAAAAGCAGATATGCGCCTGTGTTTTGTTTGCAGCCTCTGCAGATATGTTTCTGTCTCACATTGCGGTGCCAGCTCTCTCTATCCTCTTGTGTGGTGCTTGTCCTTCCTTCCCAGGTGCTTCTACGTATTGCTGGTAGCTCTTCCTTTAAGGGTGTCGTTATAGATGCCGATTCTTCAAGACTTAATTCCGCAGCATAATATAAACAGATTGTAGTGAGGATGCGCGAAAGAGTCACGGGCAGCTTGGGCACAAGCGGTCTTATAGCATTTCCATTGGGAGTAAAAGATAGAAAGATAAAAGAAGATATAAAAAAGAAGATAGATCCTTATGCTGGGTCCGAACACTCTAGACGTTTATGTAGGCCGCAGCCAATCAAAAGAAAACGTCACATTGTGGCTCTGATAAAATAATGGATTTAAATAAAAAGTGGCAGACGACGTCAACGCGACTAATATACTATGGAAATGTATCGAATATTTTATATGCGGCGTATAAAGTGTAGAGAAACAAGAGATCCTTCTTCACATAAAGGAAGGGAGCGGTACTTATAGGCAAATCGACAATGAGGTGACTGGCCACAGAACTCTGATGACCCCGTATAACGAGAAGAGAAGTGTTGAGGGGAAAGCAGCCATTGACCCTATTATTTCACAACGTGTCTCATGCCACTCCTATAAGTGTCGACTTCCTCTCTCGTATACTGATTCAAATGTACTTTCTGGCGACGTGCAAATAATTGCAAACAATTGCTTCTCCGCTTGCCTTGTGGTTAAGATCTCAAGAAGCATTCCAGTGCATTCCACCCAAGGTTTCAAAGCATCACGATCTACAGCCTCCATCCATGACTTGGGCTTGCCCATGTAGATTTGTTCAACTTGGTAGGAGATTGGGAGCCCAAGCACTTTGTGGAGATACCTGACTCTCTGCTGGTCCGAGTCGATACTCAAGCGGCCATAGAGGTCCTACAACCTGTGTATTAGCCCTTGAGAATCCAGGCGGTTGCTCTGCTTTAGGCCATCTACCTCATCCCATCAATAAGCCCACTGGGTTTGGAGGAAAACCTTAGCTGAAATTGCTTCTTGAAGTCCTCCCAAGTTGTGACTCGATCCTCCACGGAATCACTTCTTCAGACGGTCAAGGTTCTTACACCAAGTAACTGGGTTCTCTTAAGCTGAGCCAGGGTAGTTGGACGGCTTGTCACAAAGGCTTGGAATCTACCTTCTGCATGTTGTTGTTACGCGGCACGGTACGCGGCACGGTATCTAATATTTTCACCTTGAAAATATTCTTTGTAATCCCCCGGTAGCTTCACCAAAATGACACGTGCGGCGTATCAAGTGTAGAGCAGCCAGATATGCCTTCTTCTATAAATTAGGGGAGCAGTACTTATGATCCCGTCCGAAACCTTCCGCTGGTCTTGAGGTCCGCGCCATTGCCAATGGTGGTGCCGAGATGTTCGGCGCCTTCGCTGTCGTCTGGACCATGTCGAAATGTTCTGCATAACGATGCGCCTTCTCAAAATATCAAAATAAGTGGGGTCCTTGTTTATTATTTGCACAAAAAAACAGTGACATCCGTTTTATCCTTGCTCGGTAGCTCTCTTATGATCAGGTGAAATTCCGCAATGTATGCCCTGATGATAGCGGTTTGTTGAATTCGCTAGAGTTTTCACCCAATAGGTTGAAAGAAAATTCAACCTACTGAAAGGGAGTTATGGAAATGATATCGAAGTATCGTTCCATGGAGAATATCTCATTCTTTACCGCGCCAGCCGTATTCGGTCTAATCTAGCTTACTGATATCACAATTATAATGGTCTCAACAATAAGAAGATCCGAATTGGTCCAGTGGTCAGGATTACCCGCTCTCACCGGGTCGGCCGGGGTTCGATTCCCCGATTCGGAGACATTTTTTGCATTTTTTGCGAAAACTGGCAAAGCAACGACAAGAAAAAGTTACATCAGTAGAAAGCTCGAAGGAAGACGCACATTTTGATACTACTCACATACCTGTGCGATAGGAAGACAACATCCTCTTCGACATTCCGACATTTTACATTTCGAAATCGGACGCCAAAATTTTCCCACCAGGGTGAACGACCGATAAGCTTGCAACAATCAGCAAAACCGACCTATACAACATATCCAGACTATTTCGGTGAAGCCACCACACATATTTTCAGCGTATTATTAACTTTCCAGCAGTACCGTACATTATCCAGTAAAAACGACAAAAGCATATTTAACAACGAAAGAGAAAAAATTGGTTCAAAATGCCGCCGCCCATACGATTTACGCCCAACATCTCGCATGACCCAACACCACGCGGTAACACCACAGCAAACAATGTAACACCCACCGCCAATCAACGCGCAACCACAACACCACACACACTTCATTGTAACGTTGAAACTGCCATATTCCATTGTCCAACCTGTGCGCACACAACATTTATTCCAAGATCACTATCTCACCATCACACTTTGAAGCACAAAGCTCCACTACCTACCACCTTCCAGTGGAACTGCACCGGTGTATCGAAACATTTTCAAGTAGAGAACACTTGCTAGTACATACCTGGACTACACACCAACATGTCCCACCAGTACCGCCACTACCAACTTCCACACCAGGTTGCCAATACCGAGATTTCGTCCTACCAACAACAGTGACAAGATTTTCGTGTGTCGAATGTTCTGCATCCTACACAGCTCTCGATAAGCTCACTAACCACTGCTTGAGTGAACATCATATTATACTACGCACACGCTGGAAATGTCCAAATTCAGCATGTACTTTTCTGGATGTCGACAAACGAATCCATACATTCACCATAAATATAACTGTACTAACAACGCAACTGTTACTATACGACACAGCTGCCCTGGCTGTAGCTCGTCAATTCAATCCGAAAATCTTTTGTCACACATGTCAAACCATCCTGATCTAATTGATGCAATCAATAGTACATATGACTCTCCACTCCAAACACATGAATTAGAAATTATTCGTGAAGCTATTGGTGCTATGGGCTGGTCCACGCCTAATATTGTGCAATTCTTGCGCACCAAACAATCCTGGAAGTCACCTAATGTTATTGCTCAAGCCATTATTCGAATACAGACAACACAAGAACAAGGTGTCAGCGTACCTATAGCCACCACTGCTCGACAAACGGCACACAATTCAACATCGTCACAATCACCAAGCCATCCAGACTACGTATTTTTCAAAAAATACATGCAATTAAGACGTTTCTGATGCCACAACTGGAATACTATATGCGACTCCATGGTGTAGGAATCAATCAAGCCCAAAAAATCGGACAAACACTACGGAAAAGTGTTAAGATATTTATCTGCCTTCCTTCCAACACTATCACCTCACTATTTCATAGTCGAACTGATGATGGTGGTCTTGGCTTTTTCGAACCATGGGATTGGCATTGCAGCACCCTTATAGTTTACGTTCTTGGGCTTCTCAACAGTGACGATAGCGCCGTTCGTACCATGATACGAAATGAACTTCGCTCTATAATACTGACACGATACCGGTTTAACATCTGAGATCACATCTACATTGAACACCGAACTAACGAATGAGGTTCTACTGGTTTACCTCAATGGCAAATTGGAACAGTGTAAACATGGACGATATATCGATGTCTCAGACCCAGCAGCTGGATTTCCTACAGCTTGAAACCACGTACGATGCCACATACCTCTTCCTCATCGCACCCCTCTAACTCTCGTGGACCTATGTCCAAACTTTCCAAGGTTGGACAGTTAAAACGCCTTTGTCAACATACTGCACAATTACGTTGGAGCAATGCCCCACACCAAGGTCGATCTCGACAACCGCAATATCATCCCTTCAGTCACAGCTGGATGCGCACAGACGATCTCTATTCTGCAGCATAAAAATTCGCTATCAAAGCACGACTGGACCTCCATCCCACCAATGCCAATAAACAACTATGGGGCCAGCAGCTAGACGGTAACTGCCGAAGATGCGGACAGCGTGAAGATATTCATCATATTCTTTCTTTTTGCAGGGCATATATGCCCCACAAAACAAGACGACATGACACTATACTCAACAGAATCGCCAAGTCAGTGAGATACAACACTGCAATCACCAGGTCTTCATCAACCAATCCCCACCTCATATCATCGCGAACGGTTTACGACCAGATATAGTTGTGATCCACGAAAAAGAAGTCATCATGTTAGACGTAGTGTTTACCTCCCAACACCAGCCCGATGCCCCCAATATTGCACGTCGACGAAAACAGGACAAATATAGCAACTTGGCTCTCCAATACCAACTTAAAGGGTTTCAAGTTACCAACGATGCCATTGCTTTTGGTGATGTGGGTCACAACGACTGGCGCACAATTATACTCTGCTTCGAAAACTAAGCACGCCTCGCAACGCTGCGATCCGATTGATGAAATGGTGTGTTAACGACACTCTACGCTCAGGCCACCACATGTGGATAGCTCGCTGCACCGCAAATCACTCCTGACCGTCATCCAATTACCTTTTCCAATTATTTCAATGTCCTATTTTATTTTAACTTTCATTGTTCAAATTCACGACCAAACGATATGTGCCAGAATTTTATCAGCAAAGCGTACAATCATCTCAGTTACCGAACAACTTTTGTTTTTTTTCCTTCCACTCTATGGAGGAGCGTTTTTTCCTTTCATTACAACTCTGCTCATTGCTGAATCTTCAAATACATTTTATCAGGTTCGATTCCCCCGATTCGGAGACATTTTTCGCATTTTTGCGAAAACTAGCAAAGCAACGATAGGAAAAGTTGTATCAGTAGAAGGTCCAAAGGAAGGTGCACGTTTTGACACTACTCACATACCTGTGCGATACCAAGTCAACGTTCACTTCGACATTTCGACATTTCACGTTTCGATATCGGACGCAAAATTTTTCCCACCAGCCTTGACCGACTAATAAGCTTGCAAATAACCAGCAAAAGCCATTATAAGGCATATCCATAGCATACCGGTGAAGCCATTTCGTATATCTTCAAGGCATTATGTTCCAACAGCATCATTCAGTACCCAAGGAGAATAACTAAACCATAAGGAAAAGGGCAAAAGAAATCACGTTTGTATTCCAACCCTTAGTTGACAATAGATAGCTCACATGATCCACACTATGCCGTGAGTGTGAGGGCAGGCAGATTGATTTGGCAGAAGGTGCTGCATTATTTGTATTGGGTGCCAACAATAATTTCCAAATTACACACGTCATGTCCCTCACAAGCACCTTCCAGCGAGACTGCGTAGAGTGTATCGAAAACCTTTCAACTATTAGTGTCTGTTCATCAACGCATCCTATTCCATACCAGGATGAGAGACCTTGTTCCTGAGCAAAGATGACGAGATTTTCGTGTGTGATTGTTCTGCATCTAACACGGCTATCGATAAGCTCTACAACATTACTTGAGCATCCCTCGCGTAACCTAGGTACGCTCTGGAAATGCCCAATTTAGCACGTACCTTTTTGAATCTCGGTAAATGCGTCCATGCTTTTTCACCATCACCGATAGTACTCCATGGCCACCCCTAATGTTGTGTATTCTCGTGCATCAAAGAATGCCGTTGTGATGTTGGCAGGCTGCACAGTCGACCTATACTCAATAGTTACATGGCAGGACAAGTTCCCGCCTTATTATACCATCTGTTGCGAACATGAAGTTAAGCGTCACCCTTTTCTGGTTGCTCAGAAAAGATTAAAGTATGGCAACACCTCTTAACTCTGGAGACAGACAAGGGACTATCGGCATACCTTGACTTCGGCCAAGTACAGATCCTGACAATGGATGCTCCATATTCTGGTCTTGGAGCAATCCTATCACAATCACCGGATGGCAACTCTATGGTGAGAAGGTGGTAGCTTTTGCTTTGCGTGGCCTTCACGGAGCAGAGATAAACTATGCGGTAACGCATTTAGAGGCATTAGCAATCGTCTGGGCCGTCCGTCACTTCCGTCACATTTGTAAGGAAAAAAGTTTGTCATTTACACGGACCATGCAGCCTTACCATCTGTGTTCAACCAGATGAATCCCAAGAGCCAAGTGTCTCGCTGGGCATCTGAACTGTTGGAGTACTCTTCGATGCCCGTTACCGACCTGGCAAAATGTATCCAGCCGATTCCCCGTCATGGTTGTTGTGATTGTCACATCAACTCTCTAGCTGTATTTGTCGCTTCTTGTTGTCCATGTCCTCGGACTCCTCAATAGCTCAGAGTAAGCCATTCGTATAACAATACGAAAGGAAATTCATACCATTATTTTGGCACGGTATAGACTATCGCCTGATGTCAAGTCTAGACTTGACACTGAACTACCGAACGAGATTCTGCTTGACTATCTGAACGGCAATATGGAACAGTGGAAACATGGAAGATATATCGACGTCTCAGATCCAGCAGCTGGATTTCCCACAGTCGGAAACACGTGCAGTGTACGATTACGCTTGATGAATCAAGCAGTAGCTTCATGACGGTGATGCCAGATACTCTTGGTTCACAATCTGACAACACCGATGGCGCACCTTCACACCCTACAGGCTCTCTAGGGCCAACATCCAGACTGTCAAAGGTGGGCCAACTGAAGCGACTGTGCCAGCATGCTGCACAACTACGTTGAAATGAGGCATCACACCAAAGCGGTCTCGACAAAACCCACACCATTCGTCAAGCCATAACTGGATTCGCACGGACGATCTCTATCCTGTTTCGTACAAGTTTGCCTTGAAAGCAAGGCTTGATCTCCATCCGACCAACGCAAATAAAATGCTATGGGGACAACAACCGGATGGCAACTGTCGCAGATGTGGCCAACGTGAAGACATTCATCATATTCTCTCCTTCTGTAGAG